CTTTGATACCAAAGCCAGGAAAAGACACCACCAAAATAGAAAACTATAGGCCAATATCTCTCATGAATATTGATGCAAAAATCCTAAATAAAATTGGCAAATAGAATCCAATGATACAATTTAGCATTTGTGATTTTTCAGTGCTCCAATTTTTGTTGTTTCTAGTTATTTTTCAAAATATTGTTTGTTTTTAATGTACAACTTCTTTCCTTTTTTTCAGGAACATTAAAAAAACCCTATTTGCAATCAAATTGGAGTGAACCTTGGGTCACTGATGGCCAAGTCCAAGTGTCTGATGTAATACACATGAATACAATTAATGAGAGCACTGTGTTGTCTGCTGGACATCCCAGCCAGCGCATTCCAGCCCGCACCACAGATGCTTCCCTTCTAGAGGACCAAAGTCGCAGAAACACAAGTAAGTCTGAAGGTGTTGAATTCAAGTACCCTCTCCCATCTGTGAAACCTGAAGGTAAATTTCTAAGCATAGCAACCAGTGCTTATCATTCATTTACAATCGTTTACTCGTAGCGCAGGAAATAGCTCTATTCAGTTATCTTGTCCAATGCCTTATTCTTAAACATAATGGATCAGTGGATCTGAAATGAAAATGAATAAAGAAATGAAAAGGAATCAACACCATTCACCATTTCTTATGTCTGAAGATTTAATGCTTGGAAAAGCAGAGGGTCAATGAAGGGGAGGAAGACCCCCAATGAGATGAGTTGATACAGTGACGGCAAAAATAAGGTTAAGCACAGCAGACATTGTGAAGATGGCACAGAATTGAGCAGGGCTTTGCCATGTTGTATACAGTGTCACTGCAAGTTGGAGCCAACTCCATGGCACTCAGCAATAACAATGTCAAAGAATTAAACTACTTGTCCCAATAAAATAGTATTGAGACAATGTTGGGATGACTGATGTATGTAAGTTTGTGCTTCACTTTTGATGTTTTTAGTTACGTATTTTGAAATGTCAGTTTGTTGTAGGTTACCTTGTAGTTGTTGTTGTTGTTGATTGCCTATGAGTTGAGCATGACTCATAGCAACCCTGTGAACAAAAGGCCTGAAGCCCAATTCTGTAGTACAAACCGAGTGAATTCATTGGAGTGAGCTTCCCGTTGTGGACTTTGACTATGATAGTATAGAGTGTAACGTGTAGGGCTGCTAAATGAAAGGTAACTAGCTCCAGTCAACCAGCATCTTAATGGGGAAAGATGAGCAATCACCTCCCACAAAGATTTACACCCTTGGAAACTGAGAGAAGGCCTCTGTAAGTGGGAACTGCAAGTTCTGTAAGTTGACTTCATGGCAGTACGTTTGATTGTTTTGGGCTAAGTGTTGCAAATAGTTAAGAGTTTAGCTACTATCTGAAAGGTTATGGGTTTGAAACCAGAAATTTACCTTTACAGATTGTTGTTATGTGCAATTAAGTAGACTCATCATGATCTTATGGACAATGACTCTGAATCCTGCCCTATCATGAGCCAACCTCATTGTCTCTGAAACACCTGCCCTCATTGCTCCAGTCATTGTGTTAATCCATCTCTCCCAGGGTCTTCCCCTTTATGCTGACCTTCTATCTTTCCAAGCATGATGTTCTTCTCCAAGGACTGACTCCTCCTGACAACATGACCAAAGTATGTGGGACAGAGTTTTAAAATCCTTACCTTGAAGGAGCACACTGGTTTCACCCTCTGCAGGGAAGACCTGTTTGTTCTCTTGGCAGTTCATGCTGTATTCAGTAATACTCTTCTCCAGCAACAGAACTTGAAGACATCAATTCTTTTTCTGTTGTCCTTAGTCATTGTTCAGCATAGCAAGCAATTGAGAGATGACTATGGCTTGGATCAGGCACACTTTAGTCTTTCGACTGATGCCACTCCTCTTTAGCATTCTGAAGAGGTCCTTGACAGTAGATTTCCTAGTGGAACTCATCTTTTCATGTCCTGACTGCTGATGTCAAAGGCATTGATTGTGGATACAAGCAAGATGAAATTGTTAACAACTTCAATCTTTTCTGTCTATTCTGATGATTCCTATTGGCTTGGAGGAGAAGATTCGGTGCGCCCCCCACCCCCCACCCCGGTTGAGATGCAATCTGTATTGAAGCCTACAGTCCTTGATCTTCTACAGGAAATGCTTCAAGTCTTGCATAATGCAGGTTGTTGATAACTCATCCTCCAAGCCTCTCAAATGATCAGTTCTGCAGATAGATTGAAAAGGTGTGGAGAAAGGATACTTCTCTGACTCACTCTTTTTTTAAAAATTTTATAAATATTTTATTTATTTTAATGAACATTTACAGAGATTTTGGATTTCCACTCATTTATTGTTGCATTTTTCTACCTGCCCTCCGCCCCAGTTTGCTCTTCTCTTTGAAAAGTAAAAGAAAAAATTCCTTCATTAATATACAAACTCCCCCCACCCCCCGCCTTGCCTAAGCTCCACTATGCAACCTTCATTTGGAACTCTTGTCATGATAATACCCAATCATATTTCACTATTATACTGTTCTCTCCCTCATCTATTCTCATCTGTTTCAATGCAGTATACATAATTTATCCAATTTTTCTCAGTCTCACCCCAACCCGGATGTCAGTACCATTCTAAAACAGTGACACTGTGCAATATTTGTCCTTTTGTGACTGAGATATTTCACTCAGCATAATGTCCTCCAAGGTCACCCATTTTGAATAATATTGCATGAGTTCTTTGTGTAGTATTCCATTGTGTGACTATACCACAGCTTCTCTATCCATTTAGGTTGTTTCCAACTCTTTGCTATTATGAACAAAGCCACAATAAACATAGGTGTACATATATCTGCCTGGGTGGCAGTTATGGTTTCTTTAGGGTATATTCCCAGTAGAGGAATTGCTGGGTCAAATGGTATTTCTGTTTGCAACTTTTTGAGAAAGTGCCATACAGCCTTCCACGGTGGTTGTAACTGCCACAAACAGTGAATAAGAATAAGAGTTCCAGTTTCTCCTTAACCTCGCCAGCATTTTTTGTTTGCTGCTGTTAAATTTTGCTATTCTTACTGGGGTGAGATGATTTGCATGTCTCTAAGAGGTAAGGATTCTGAGCATTTCTTCATGTATTGGCTATCTGAATATCTTCTTTTGTGAAGTGTCTGTTCATATTCTATGCCCATTTTTCAATTGGCTTATTTATCTTTCTCTTGTTGTGGTGCTCAAGTATTTAATAAATTCTAGATGTAAGTCCCTTATTTGACATGTAATTACCAAATATTTTTTCCCAATTTGTGGCTTTACTTTTTACTCTGCTGGAGTTTTTAGATGTGCAAAGGGATTTAATTCTTAGAAGGCCCCATTCATCTACCACTCCTTTCTTGATTTTGAGCTGTGTAATGTTCCCTTGCTCTTTTTGGGCAATAGTTTCTTGATGTAGGTATAGATTTCACATGAACACAATCAAATGTTCTGGGATTTCCATTTTTCTCAATGTTAGCCATAATTTTTTTGTGATCTGCACAGTTAAATGCCTTTGCCTAGTCAAGAAAACAAAAGACCCAATTGATATTAACGATGGTATCTTTAGTGCTGTGATCTCTTCTAAACACAGCTTGTATTTCTGGCAGTTCTCTGTCAACATAATATTCTGGTCATTTTTTGATACTTTTCAGCAAAATTTTTCTTGCGTGTAATATTAATGCCATTCTTTCTTTTTTGCATATGCAGTTTATTTTACAGTAAAACCTGTGAAAGTCGGAACCTATGTAAGGTTGTTTGAGAAGAAAAATTCAGATATTTTCCACCAAAATAGAGAACACAGTCACTGCATTCTGGCAAAGGCAGAACTTGCTGGAAGAAGGAAACCATAGCTGTCTCCTTGACTTCTGGCTCTAACAGGTTTCACTGTATTTCTTGGTGACTGACAAGTAATTGAATCTTGAAGTAACCAGTATGTGAGACATTTTTCTCATGAAGACAAGTGGAGGGATTGGCCAGCAATTCCAGAAAAGAGTGGGATTAAAGAGGAAAATCAAAAAGTGTGGAGATAGGGCCAGTGCAATGAGGGAAGTGACTACATGCCCTTGGGTAGGGATCTGTCCTTCAATAGCCCTTCAATCCTTGGTAAAGTTAGAACTCCCAGAATGCTTGGTGGGAGTGGAGTAAATGGAGAGTTTGACTTGATTCTAATCACTGCCAAAAAACCATCACTCTTCAGCAGTGATGTTGATTCTTATGTTCTGCTTTTAAAAACAAGGTTATGGAGCCAAAACATGCACAAGCCCATCAATTCATAATAATTTTCTTGTTTGTTCCTTCCCTGTTCATGAAAACTCACAATGGGAAATCGTATTTCAAGTGTAGGATAGAGTATTTATTTTTAGTATGAGCCAGGAAAGGAAGGATTAAGTTGACTTTTAGTTATCATACTATATATATGTCAGTGTTTGAAGAAAAACAGGCTTATTCTATTTCTTCAGTTCTATAGAGATAGATTATTTAGATTTCACTCTTTCACAGAACACCTAGAGGAATTAGCTGTTTCTTAGGCTTGGTGATCATGAGTGATTTATAATGATTCCATTTGACAGTAATACGGAAAAGTAAAATTATGCCAACTAGACTTTACTTTCCTTATTAATTTAATTTTGATGTTTTACTTTTTTGTCATGTCATAAGCACTTCATTATTCTAAATGATTATGTTTTTCCTCAGAAGTATAAAAATAATGAAAATAAAAACTTGGTCCAGTTAATGTGACTGCAATTACAGAAATTATTATTTTCTTCCTCTAACAAGTTTGTTCCTTACTTGAAAGTTCTGTCATTTGTTTCAATTCAAAGAGGTGACAGACACATACCATGAAATGGAAGAAAACATATGGTAGCAGTTGCTCTGTTTGGAAATTTGATGGGAGTCTGTTTGATTAATTTTCTCTACAATGGAGCATTACTGTCAAATATGCGTGCACTTTGACATGTAGAGGATATCCAGGTGAAATTGAAACGATTAAGTGGAGAAAGGTCGAAATCTTTGGATACGTGTCATTCGATATTGTTCCTGTGTTTAACACTCCATATTGTCAGTGCCAAACTATAAAGCATTTCAATAAACTCTAAATGTTAATAAAATGTATTTATTGCAGGACACACAGTATCTTTTCATACATCTCAGTAACAGTGACGTGTTGTAATTACAGAGCTTTTCCTCCCCAATTTTCAAGGTTTGCTTAAATGTTTTCTCTTTGTGATTCAAAATTATCTGAAGAGGTGTTTGGGAAAGGGAATATTATATGCCACTGGTCCAAATAATGAAACTGGGGCTTTGAGTAGTTAATTCTGCATATTTATTGACACTGGTCCAGTTTTTGATAGATATAGAACTGGGATTCAAATATTAGTACTTTTTTTCCTCTAAAACAATATGCTTTCAAGTGGTTA